TTTTTTTTTTTACCATAAATATCACCCATGCCAGCTATTTTTTCGACGTCCACCGAGCAGATTTTGTCAACTTGGGAAACCGCTCTTCGGATACTAACCGCGGCCAGGGAAGTTAACCTCGAAGACGACCTAGACTCTCGATTCTGCAGCGAGGCTAAGAGAGCACCTACTTTCACTCGGTTCGGAAGAACACGTTATCGAAACCAAAACGCCTGCAATTATGCATTACATAAAAAGGAGAGTCACTTAATGGAATTATAACCCGAACTTAACGACCGACTCCTGCAAACTGGATTTCTCAGAGTCAGGCTTAATGTGCTCGAGAAAAGTCGAAAAATGTTCGAAAAAAATACAAGAAAAATTGTACTAGGTCCTCCAGAAAGGTATTTTTCCCTGTTTTGGATGTCCTCTTCCCAAACAAACTTGTTCCTCCTTCACGTTCCTGCTTATATACCATCTTAAAGCGCAGACTCCGCTCCGCGTTTTGATAACAATAATCGTTTTGTATATTAATATTTCTTCCATTGCGCCAATACCGATCGTCCAACCCGCTCTCGATGTTCAAGACTCTCGTTACGGAATTTTCGAAACCGCTATTCGAAACCATGAGTTCGTTAGCGGTTCCTGGGCCAAATAGATCGACATCACGAACCCCAGGAGCTTCCTCGATCCATTTTGAGCCCAGGCAAGACACCCTCCCAAATATGCATCTTCTCCATCATGACTTAAATATTCTAAATAAAATAGAAGCGACTTTAAATCACACCTGTTATCATCAAACCTTCCAACGAACTCTGCGCTTTAAAACAGTACATAGCAAGGAACAATGTAAATAGAGTAACTTGAAACCAGAGCGTAGAATCTCGCGGTGAAAAACCGCCCTAACTTTCTAGTCATCCTAACATCGGTTAGTGACCGCGGCGACACAGTCATCGGACTTAATTGACACCTAACCGATGCCAACCGTGCCTATTCCGGACTGTACCCTCGCCCGGTTTCGCCCATTGTCTAGGCTAGTCCCTCTAGTCTCGCCTATCGGCGGAGTGCCGGCGAGTCTCGCGATGCGTATTCTCGGCCGCGGCCGATGCGCGACGGGCACGCGTGCGCGCGCACGCCCGCGCCGCGGCAAACCTAGCAGCGGGAGAAGTCGGCCCGCGTGCACTCACCATGCGGCAATATATCCGTGACATCTAGAACAGGGCTCGCCGATGGTCAGACGGCATCTGCGGGGTGCTGGAGAGCCAGACACCGGGTGCCGCGCCGACGAGCACTGGACGGCAGCGAGGAAGAGAGTGACGACCGAGTCGCCACCGACTTGGAGTCACACACCCGCGATCGGCGGCGAGTCCACCCCTAGCGGGGTTGCGAGCGCCCGGCGACGCGTGCCGGTCGGTCCGCGACACGTACCTCCTCCCCCCGGCGCCAGAGCGCGCAGTCCTGCCCGGACGTCCGTTTGCGTCGGACGGGGCACGTGGTCACGCGGCGGCGGCGGCAGCGGCGCTTTCCAGGGCACACGCGTATCGGCTCGTGGAGGCGCGCGCCTCTTCTCGACCACGTTCGAGCGCGTTCGACCGCGTTCGACTGAAAGCCCGAACTCGCCGAGTCTCCCCGGGTCGGCCGGCTTGCGCGCGCGCGCCTCTTTCTGCTCGCTCGCGGGCTTCGCGCGCCCCCCTCCCCACCCCGACGGGCTCGCGACTCTCTTCGGCCGGCGCGCAGTCCTTCTCCCGCCTCCCGCGGGCGCGGCTCGCCGTCTCCCTTGCTCCCGTGACCCCGCCTCGCGGGAGCGAGAGAGACAGAGAGCCCCGCTCGACAACCCCCCGATTTATTGTCTCCTACGCCGTAACTTCTTTTGAGGCAGGTTAGGGCGCTTAACACCCGGGAATTAGCGATAGACCCGACCGGGTTGATACGTATCACTTAGTGGGTTTTCATTTAAGAGAAAACGCCAACCGAGGGGCACCTCCCTCCTCGGAACGGACTATTTCGTTTCATCTTCCGTTTGCCCGTTCAGGGAAAGTACCGCTTAATTATTGGCTATGCGGATAAATTTATACTCATTAAGATACCGTCGATATGCCGCATTATGAAGCTGCCAGGTGTGTGCTCTAGATGGACGTGGGCCTGGTGGAATGGATTTATATTTAGGAATTAAAATTAGTACGTATCGACGGGATTCGATAGAAGGGCATGGGTGAAATCCGTTTTAATGTACCTACGATATTTTATTGCTTTTATTTCAGCGCGGGATATTTACGGATCAGGACATTAATTTTGAAAACGGATATGTGCGTTTTGGTGAAGCTTAATTTTATCTTTTTTTTATTGTTGGTCCAGGTTCCACCTGGTCACCGGATCGGTAGTCAAATTGCAGGTTAAGCTGAGTGCGACCTCCCCCTCCTCCATCCTCGGGGATTACTTCGCACGCCCTTTGACCTTCGTTAGTTGTCCATGGAAAAAGCGTCGATAAGGCGGGCGAGGACGCATTTGCGTTTTCCGATAGACGACCGTCCTCTCTCGCGGCCGACGAGAGCGGCAACCGCCTTCGGCCATTTGCAGCAGGGACTAATTATTAATAGACGTTTAGCTCCCTGCGACCGCCACCGGTGGTCAGGTTCTGCGACTTCGGAGAGCATTGCTTTAGGAAAATGCGCCGACCTGAAGTCGGTAGAAAATTGTAGAAAAATCGCAGATCGGCCAGATTTTTGTAAGACAGTCCCATGTAACTTGGCATCAAGGCAGAATCCCAAATTCTTCGCATTGGTTAAATCTATTCCAGATCCTCTACTCTCCATATTATCGGTAGAAAGAACCTGAAAATCTGAAGCAGCTCCTCGGCCATCTTTCCAAGTACCTACTAAGATCTTCGGTGCTTAATCGCGGAGATCGCTCAGACTCAAGAGCTAATTCCAGGCTAAGAAAGCTCCTATATGAAACGGTCTCACCCTGTTGGTCGAAGACTGTAACCGGCTGTGTCGAGATGACGAAACTCACCAAGGAAGAAAGTCGAAAACCTGAAAGTAAATTCGTACATGCATGCATGTATATTAAACGGCAGTTTCTACGTAGAGGTTTAATTTTAATACCGATAGTAAGTCTCCACAAAATTTCAGCTTCAACGCGCCATGACACTTACAAGGAAGGTATTCCAGGTCGATCTCTCCAACTTAATTTCTTTTATAATATGTTATAGTAGACTAAAAACTAAGCATGTATATTAAACGGCAGTTTCTACGTAGAGGTTTAATTTTAATACCGATAGTAAGTCTCCACAAAATTTCAGCTTCAACGCGCTATGACACTTACAAGGAACGTATCCTAGGTCGATCTCTCCAACTTGATTTCTTTTATAATATGTTAGAGTAGACTAAAAACTAAGCGACACGTATTTTTTTTTTATTTGCCATTAAACACTTTAAGGGGGTGAAACTACCATCCAAAATAAGGCATGTCAAGGGGTGATTTGGCAGTTTCACCCACAAGAACATAATATTTTTTAACCAATCGAACTGGAAAAGCTTCCTCATAACGAGAAATGAAAAATATAGTTTCCTCAATTAAAAAAAAAACTTAAGGGGTGAGCCACCCCTCACAGGCCTTACTTTTGATGGTGGTTTCACCCCCTTAAAGTGCTTAATGGCAGATAAAAAAAGCACGTGTCGCTTAGTTTTCAGTCTACTATAACATATTATAAAAGAAATCAAATCGGAGAGATCGACCTGGGATACTTCCCTTGTTAGTCTGTGTTAAGGTGATACGAAAAAGACGTATGAGATTTCTCATTCACGAAACTTTTCTCCGAAATGGATATACCTAATCGTTTAAAATATTCCTCCATGCCATCGAGGCCTTAGGAAAGGTCCTGACACCTATAAAATTCTCTTTTTTATTTACATGCAGAAATTGTTTCATTCTTTATTAAAATATAAAATTTCGTGGTTGCCAATCGTTTGAAATATGAGCACGTGAATACGAAGGCCCTGAGGAAACTCCCGTCACCCATGAAATTTCATTTTTTAAATATTCACAAATATTCTTTTAATTCCGTATAGAAAATGAAATTCTACAGGTGTTAAGCCATTAGGACCTCCACAATCACGTGGGGAAATTCAAACGATTCCGCACACCCGGTTCGGAAAAAAACTTCATAAAAGATTGACCCCTCCGATGCCACTTTCATATCACCTTAAGGCCCTCGACGCTATCGCGCTCTCCCGGGGTACAAGTCTGGAGTACAAGTCCCGTATGACGTCACCGAGCGGGTCATCGGATCCGCGATCATCCGAAACGATCTCGCGACGGTGCACCCATCCGATCGGATGAGGAGTCAGCACCGGTCGCGCGACGATGGCGGATCGGTCACGTTTTTCGGGTGTACGATTCCCGTATGACGTCAGAGACGCGGCACCGAAGAGGCCAGTGCCGGCGGTGCCGGCGAGGTGGCACACGGGCTCGCTTTTGCCTGAGCGTACCCGTTCGTTCACCCTAGCGGGGGCACCAACCTGGCTTTACTTCAGTTACTCGCTGAGAGAGCCGCGCGGCTCGGCGCGATCTATAGGTATACACTTTGCGCATCTAGTATAGCGTACGGAGTGTCCCGCTCGAGTCGACCCCGGTCCTGCCTCCTCCCGGCACCGACCCTTCCACCGCCGATGACTCGGGGTATGTGCCTGCCAGGGAAAAAAGGAACTACACGTTAGGCCTCGATCGTGACGTTTCCAGGCGAGACCCGAGCCTCCGAGAGGACCGTCTTTCGCGGTAAGAACCTGGCAACATCACCTGGGACGGGATTTCGGCTCGCAACGACCTCGGGTTGATCAAGTTACGTAATTACAATCAGCTTACAGTAAATAAGTTTTCAGAAGTCCGGCAGCAGACACTTGGTAGATGTACTGCTGCAATAGGTGCTCGATTATTATGCACTGGATGTAACTATAGAAGGTAATATCTCTTTTCCATTAGAACACGACTGGGAGAGGGTGAAGAGGAAGGTTCAAGAGCGCTCACGGTAGAGATTAAGCTTTATTAATTATTTCTAGAATTTTTGTCTCGAATGGTAGGTTTGTAATTTTATTAAGTTTCATTATATTAAGTAAGATTTATTAAATTTAAGTGTGACGGTGTATCGGAATGTATGTACCTATTAACCCGTTTGGTTGTGAATTAAAGTTGCGGGTTTACGCTCCCGTTGTGAATTCTAAAGCTTCTGGAAAAACGCTGTTCACGTTTGAACGCGATGGCTGAGATAGGTGAATTGAAAGTGGAATTGTTGAAGCACTCTTTAGAAATTCATCTCGCCACTCGCTTTGGCGCTAAGCGCCTAGACCGTAGGCAAGGCGCGGTGCGCGAGTACCGTAGGTCATTGCGCGGAGAGTATCGCCTGGCTTTCTCTCGACTCCTCGGAATATTGGACGGGTTCTTGACCCAACGATGTGTAATCCAAAAACGCTGACTATTCGCAAGAAGTGTGCGCTCACGCGTGCGACACGGCCGTTGATTCCCGGAGTGGCTTCGCTGCTGCACACAACGCTGCTCGTTCGGTACATTAACGAGCAAATCGCTAGATTTTTCGAGAGAAAGTTTAACCAGCCACGCGATACTTGGCGTTCGTAAGCAGACTCGGACTTATGGATGAGACGGATGGTTCTCTCTGTTTGCGATAGTATTTTTTTCGAGAGTATAATTGCACGTCAGTTAACTTATCATTGGAATTATACTTAGTGAAGTATGTACAATGTGGAAAATAGATTACGGATTAAGTGTAGCGGGTGGCACTCATGCTGACCATTCTGATGGATACCGGATCTGTCACGGTGTCCGTCGGACTGGATCTCTGTTGCTGATGCGAGTAGCTGACCTCCATATCAATTTCATCCAACTCCTCCTCTTCTTCCTCGTGTGTGTCCGATTCCTCCTCCTCCTCTCCCTCTCCTTCTTCTTCTTCCTCTTCCTCCTCTTCTTCCTCGGAGCCTCTAAACTACGAGTACAAATATCTTATTCTTAATTTCTTTTTTATATGTCGTATTTGCTTCATTTAGAATTAATCACGTATTTCATAATGAAATGGCACATGTAGCACCCTAACGATTATAATAACGAAATGAAACAGAGGAATCGATGAGTTTGTAATTCTTTGCTGAGTTACAGTATCGATGGTCGGTGTTTTTATAGTTTTATTCAGGGGCTTCGTTCTACTTGAGAAGTAAAAATACTTGTACCGATATAGATTAAAAATTGCTCCTATGGCCACTCCAAAGACTTTACCGAACATAAACGTACGGTCATATGTGTATGATTTTTGCAACAACTCTGTACATTGTCTAATCTTTACAATATTCTTAATTCAATATTCAAATTTGTGCGAGTAATTTAAAAATAATAACACACAGAAAAAAGTGAGGTTATCTTACATCGCTTGCAGTCTTTCCAATAGGTATGTAATCGTAGCCTTCAGCTCTTATGCGTTCCCTCTGTAAAGGTAATTGCAGTTGAGTACAAATACAGAATTGTCATGACACATCTTCGGTATACAATATTTAACTTTAAAGAAAACTGCATTAACTCACCCATGCTTGATGTTCCGTCTCAAGAGCTTGTACCTCGCTTTCGTCGTCGCACGGTTTATCCGCGTTAAACCACAAAGGATCAGTTGCCCTGGGCTGTAGATTTGGCCATAACGGTGGAAGCGACATTTTACCTCCTAACTAATAGTGAAACGATCAATTAAAATTATCCCAACGTGACATTTTAACACGGCCCAACAAATTTTAAGTAAACACTGACTCACTAGCGCTCTGTGTTGAAGAAAACTTATGTGGTGGCCATCTTTATCGACTCAAGGCAATCCTAAAATTGGTACAAATAGCGCCATCTGATGTATAATATTTTCACACACTACTTGTCACGTAGGCCTTACCATCCTTAAGAAAAAACTATATCCCCATTTTATAATAAAAATTTACCTTTTTGATTGTCGCTATAATATACATTTCTTTCACATTTTTGTTTATTTTTAACATTAGTGTCTGCTAATACAATTTCATGATATCGATCGTTAGTGTATGAAAACACCGTAGGACATTTCAATATCACATAAAAAAGAAACCGCTCCTTCGGTAGCCGAGAGTGTCTACCAAATCATTTGACATTAGTTCGGAACGTTACAGGTTACCGACATAATTTGAAACGAGAAAGAATGTGCAAGTGGTGCCATCTATCGTGACGTGGCGGATCGAAGCTTGTAACAGTCGGGTAGAACTTCATGAATGCTCGAGAAAAACGTCACATAACATAAAATACGCACTCGTTCCGTAGCTGAAGTAGTTTAACATATATTTTTTTTACTTCCCAAGTGTCATAACAATTTTGTATTTAACATTAAGCCCGAAAGTCACAGGTTATCGACGTCATTTGAAACGGGCGAGAATGCATTAGTGGCGTCACCTAGCGTGGAACGGCGAATCAAAGCCTGTGACATTCAGGCAGAACTTCACGAGCGTCCGAGAAAGGGGGTCCAATCCTCGTTTCGCAGTGCTCCACAGACAGGGTGTGTATGTACATCGTTGGGTTAATTCTTACATTTTCAATACCTCCCGGTAATGGTGAAAAGCGAGAAAGTTGTATACAGTTTATTTTTAACCACGTGGAAATCCGATTGAGTCGAAGGGAAGAGAAAACATCAAGACTAAGAGGAAGTCGTCCCGATCTACGTGAACTGTAGGAAAGTGAGCGGTCAGATCGGCGTGACATAACCTCGAACGACTAAAGGTGAGACCATGGATAACCTAGGATTTCACCTTGTACTAATCTTACACTGCACATGTACGTCAGAGGATTTAAATATTTTTCACGTATTATGAATTCTCAATGATCACTCTATTTTACCATTCCTTTTAATTTTTCCTGTATTCATCCTTGACAGGTACTCTTACCATGTAGCGATAATGAAAGTGCACCATAACCAGGTTAAGCATTTCTCTCTCCATTCGTGAAGAATCAGGCATTTAACACTTTGGTTTGACAGGTTCTACTGTATATCATAGAGTACATACACATTTAATTATTTATCTCTTTACATAGACTGTATTGCATGTTGGGGTTATTATATGTAAGCCTAATTTTTTATTCCATGTCATTTGCCACAGTTGTCAAGAACTGTCGCAAGTGCGAATTTCAATTTAGTGCCCATGAAATTGATTACAAGGGTCCATTTGCATGGAAAGAATGATACAGTGCAATCAAACGGAATTTGTGTCTGAAAATGAACATATGTTCTTCATAACCTATGCCAGTGAGGATAATAGATTGGGGGTTCTTGATATTTGCTGCAATATTCAATATATATTAACATCTCGAATTTCTGGTAACACTGTTATAGACCAATTCCATAAATATACAGTAATGATTGTCCTATCACTCTGGTGCATATCTGTAGGCACAAATCAACTGATAGGGAGCTGCTGTGCATGTCTCGATATACCAACCGGTCGTTTGCCCTCGTTGGGTAGTGTAATAATTAATATCAGTTCATCCTTATTGAACCAATTGAAGCCAATGATAGGGGGCCCTATAGGTTGACTGATAAATCATCCTCATTGGCGAATAATTTCATTTACCTTATATTATTACAGTAATTGCGATTTCCAGACTGTCAATTGATAAGAAAAATGCTTGTTCGAGTGGCGATAAGGCCGATATTTTTATTATTTTCCTTTCAACTATCTCGTGGCATTGAAAACATTGTACGTCAATTTGTCTCACATGTGCTCAGACGCCCTACTTCAAAAACATATAGCTACTTTGTTTTACAAACTACGTAAACGATCAATTTTACGCCGCTTTTATAACCGACAAATTTTAATGGCTGACTTCCTGACCTATTTGCAAAAACTCATATTTCTGTGCTCGGCTCGTATTTCATACATGTTTGATTTTATTGCGCGTGACCGTTCTTCCGGGTAAGGAACGGAGGAATTTTAATAAAAGGGATTCCTTAGGTTCATCAGAAATTCTTGAAGCTTCTTGACGCGTTCAGCCGACCTATATAAATCTGACCTTTATGATCGGTTCCATTAAGAGAGATCGAAATATCAATTGGCATTCCCTGAAGTTAATTTCAACCGAAAAATCGTCTTGGCGGTTTTAATCGACCCCTTAACATCACATTGATGGTCGATTTATTGAATAATACCGTTATCCCAAATTATTTTCTATCAAATATACTGGGGAATATGAAATTTTGAATAGTGTAATTTAGCGATTTATTAAAAGAAAAAAAAAGAAGATTTAAATTCATTAATGTTTAATCTCAGAATTTTAAAGTGCATCTTTGAAATTGCATAACGTCTTGATTTGAAACCGTGTTTTTGAAAAACAGAATTTGCCACTTGAATATATCAGTAGTTGAAGTATGTATAAAATAAAAAAATGTATATCTTCAAGTCGGCAAATTCTAGGTATTTGTGCGCGGTTTTATCTTGAGACATGGACCTTGATCTTGAAAGAATGCAGACTTAAAAATATTTAAGAGTACTGAAGAGTGATGTTATGTACTAGTTGTAGACTTTGAGTGATTCTACCTAGTGGAACATTAGTAAATAACCCCAGTAATCACTACAGATTTCGATTACGCCCATTGCAGATATACATAAATTGATTTTTTATGTATTGCTAATAAAAGTATCGATCTCTACTTTGAAATGAGAAATTTTCTTAATCTTTCTTTAAAATTTTAACGTCAAAATTATATGGTACGCAAAAAAATGTTTCAAGCAAAAGTTATTTGTTTTTTCGCGAGGATTTAGATAATCTACAAAAAGTATAGGTTTCCATTTGAAAATAACAAATGACCTTAACGTGGTCTTCAAAACGGTTTTAAAATAAAAAAAATTAACAACCTGTTTTCTTTTCTCTTTTCAAATCAAACAAATTTTATTTTAAACATTCTTCTCTGTAACACTTCGTCCTAAAAAAATATTACTTTTTCAGGTCAAATGCCACTTTATATTATACACGCAATATTTGTCTCACATAAAACAGAATTCAAGACTCCGGTTATTCCTTCTGTTCATTGTCGTTCCTCGGGACAGTTACAATAATGATGCTTAAAAGGTTTTCACGTAACCCTGAATAAAAGAAAATCGTTTAATTCTGGCTTGATTCCTAGAATAGAGTCACGCGATAAAGATAATGGATCACTAATGTTGAACAAAAAGTCTTTTATACTATAATTACTTTTTACAAAAATCGTCATACGCGATTGCGATTATTGATGTTCTTTTGGCTTATGGAGATCGTTTCTGAGACCATTACTTTTTATTGCTGATCATTGGAATGCCTGCTTTGCGACTCTTATTATCAATAAATTGGACAATATTATCCTCAACAATGACGACTCTTGTGTTACTTACAATTAAAAAATTATTCAGTCACAACATCGAGAGAGAGAGAGAGAGAGCAATCAATCGATACAAATTTAGCGATTTATCGACCAATAGATTATCTTCGATATTCTGCAGGGTAAACTTTCAAAACAACGATAAATTTAAGAGAGAAAGAGAGATTTGTCACGTAAAAAGATTCATCATGTTCAAAAGCGGTTTGGTTCATTCAAGTTGAAATCGTGATAAATGTGCGAGTTCACGTTTCTGTACCTTTGTTTTCTGAATTACGGTTTTCATACTTATTTTTTATCGTTCCTACAGCCTAGGAATTATCTAGTCGACTACTTAGCCATTGCTATTGCGTTTTCGATATTATTACTTTCGTAACGTAATAGTATCCTTGATAGGACGGGACATCGATAAGGTAATTTCGTACGTCATTCACATATAATGAACAAATTTACAGAGATGGTTCAGAAGTCATTCATTAATTTCAATCAATCGTCAAACAGAAACATTATATGTATAGTGAGGTTGAATATACTTTCTACGAAAACCCTTATCATATCTAATTATGTATGAAATTTTAGCATCCGTCAAATTACGCCGCAATAAATTGCGTTTTGTATGACTCGTTCGTAATCTCTCAAGGTCACGATATTCATTCCAGAAAGTTGCTCCGCTTTATCACATCGCGAAACTTATGTATCTTTTCTATCGTCCGAAATTGTTTCAAGCCTCTTTTGGTTGCAGCAACTTATTTGTGCATTTATTTTATTTTATTTTTAAGGGGATTTCAATTGTACATAATATGTGTACTCAAAAATAAGTACCGATCTATTGCGTGCAAATTGAAGGGTTAACTTTTCATGGAAAATTGACTGCGAGAGATCGTGTAATTCAAAGAAATGTTGACGATGCTGAAGTAGTAAAGAATACTGCTGCTCAGAAAACGCGTTACATAATGACTCCTCTTGGAGTTCCTCGTTCAGACTTTCCTTAATTTCTGATGGCAGCATTTGTTGAAAAAATTTGTTCTTCCGCTGTTTCTGGTTAGACTTTTCGAGTCCATCGCTTGGTCGATTTATTTCGAAATATTCGGTTGACGCATAAGTTCAAGCGATTTTTTTTTAATCATTAGAACAAAAGAACTGTACGAACTTATGTCTTGATCTAATAAATAATACGTTGCAAGCAACTGCAAGAAAGAGTCTGTGCAATATTTGTTAGTTGATTAATGGTGGCGCGATTGGGGTATAACTGCAAATCTGGACGTCCTTCTTGAGGCTTTCCTTAATTTTTAACAACATTAAAAATGGGATCTTCCGCTGTTTTCGGACTCATCTTTCGAGCATATCGTGTGATACGTTTATTCTGAAATATTGGGTTGAGGCATAAGTTCGTACGGTTTATTTTCTTTTAATGATACTTATGCATCAGCCTAATAAAAAGGAAATTACATCCAGTTGCAAGATATATTCTGAAATGTTAGATAGAGGCATAAATTCGTTAGGGTTTTTCTTTTTTACAATATGAACAATGAAACCACACGACTTTATAAAACCCTGTAGATTTGAGGGAAGGTATCGAATACGGTTTCGAATAAATGTAGTTTTATCGAATGGAGGCGGTTTTCTTTGACGGTACTTATGCATCAACTTAATGAGAAAGAAATTATATGTAATTGTAAAAAATCGTTCACACAATGTTCGCCGATCGATCGATGATGGCGCGATCACGTTGCCTCGGGAATCTGCAGGCCTCGACGTCCTCATTAGGGCTTTTTTTAATTTCTGAAAACAACGCTCGTTAAAAAATATGTTCTTCCCTCCTCGTACTTATATTTCTAGCATGTCGTTTGATCCATTTATTCCGAAATATTAGGTTGAGTAATACGTTCGTAAGGTTTTTCCTTTATTACGATTTGAGCAAAGTCCGCACGAACTTATGCGTCTACTTTATAAAGCACTGCAGATTTGAGGGAAGTTATACGGTTTCGAATAAATGTATTTTTATCGAATGGGGGCGGTTTTCTTTGGCGGATCTTATGCATCAACTTAATAACAGTCAAATGATATGTAATTGTAAGAAATCGTTCGCACATTGTTCGCCGGTCGATCGATAATCGCGCGATCGCGGTGCCTTAGGAATCTGCAGGCCTCGATGTCCTTCCACTTTTCCCTCTCTACATCCGGGACTCCGACGTAGTCCGCGGCATCGATCGCAGGGAATTCCACAAGTTGGATAACGATCGTTTCGATGATCGAAAGACGTTTACTTGGCCTTGACCCTGGTTTCGATATTAAATATTTTTCCCAACCGGGCCAGGTGACCCTTTCGTTATCGTCCGCGGTTGTTTGTCCACGTGTTCTGGTCGGTCGCTGCGTGTCCGGTGTTTCCGCGGTTTCTAGGATAACAACAGGAAAATTGTGCGGATAATAAGCATGGTTAAATATCGCGATAACCGTATCGGACGGTAGTGTCCATCTTTTCGCGGTTTCTGGACGAGCGAGGACATGCTCGTGGATTTCAATCGCGATTTCCCAGTTCCTTGGCGACTCTTAAAACCATTTTTTCATCGCTACTCGTTTTTCGAGGTCCCCCGAAATTTCTCCCTCTTCATCAGTTTTCTACAAGTAACGACTTTCCCTATTAATTAAAACCACAGTTTCTCAATCTTCCAACTACTCCAGAATCTATTTCATCAATGCTGTTCGTCCCTAGAACCTCTCTAAAAATCCTTTTCTTTTTCCCTATGGACGAGCAAAGATATACTCGTGATTTTTCGAATCCTTGATGTCCTCTAAATGCATTTAATCGGCACTATTTGTCCTTGAAATCCCTTGAAATTTCTTCCCCGTCATAATTTTTCCACAACCTAAGACTTTCCCATGAATTAAAACCACGTTTTCATCATTTTTTAACAATTCCAGAATCCATTTCATCGATGCTATTCGTCCCTAAAACGCCCCTAAAAATCCTTTCCTTTCTTTCGCTGAACAAGCAAAGATATTCATAAATTTTTCGGTTTCTTGATGTCTTCTAAATTCATTTCATCAGCACTTCTCGTCATTCGGAATCTCCCAAAAATTCTCTCCTGCATCGGACATGCGCGAAATTCGAGACGCAATTCGTCAGCCTCTTTTACTCACTGGTGTCAGTTCCAGCTGCATCGTTTGCATCTTGACTCCTAAACCCATTTTATCAGCATTATTTATTCCTCTCCACGTTGCTTTCGAGTCACGGTGAAGGCAGGACTAACAAGAAAACATTCCCAAGTATCCGCCGTTGATCTTATTGATTGTCATATATGTTAAAGAACATACAAATCTTAGAGACACGTGTTTTTATTTTATCTGCAATAGTCCACATTTAAATGGTGAAACAACCCCCAAAGTTTGGCAAAAATTCGATTTTTATATTAATTTTCGCAGAAGCAGTGGAGGGATTTCGACGAAAGTTGGTATAAACGTATTCTGTATAAGGAGAGTGAAAACACAATATTGTCCAATTATGTTACACCACCTCAAGGGGGTGAGCTACGCTTCAGGCGATATTTTTTTGTAATATCTTTTAAACAAGTACTCCTACTTAAGTTCCACTTACGCGATGTGATTGCTCACAAAAAATGAAGAAATACGTGTTTTTTTGCTTTTTGCCAATACACATTTATACATCGGTTGAAAAGAATGGATGTAGGTGGTATATGGGTGTATCCCGGCTATCTTTATTGGGTTATATCGTCATCGAATCTGTTGCGAGACAATTTCAGTTTCTTAAACAGTTTTTTAATTTATTTATAAATAATTACACGTTTACACGATTTATGTACAATGAATTAGTCACGATGTAATCCAATAAAGATAGTCGGGATATACCCATATATCACCTACATCCATTCTTGTCATCCGATGTATAAATGTTTATTGGCAAAAACCAAAAAACACGTATTTCCTCATTATTCGTCAGTAATCACGTGGCTTAAGTGCAACTTAAGTAATAGTGCTTGTTTAATAAATATTACAAAAAAATTTCGCCTGAAGGGTAGTTCACCCCCTTGAGGTGGTGTAACATTACTAAACAATATTGTGTTTTCACCGTCCTTATACACAATACTTTTATGCCAAGTTTCGTCGAAATCCCTCCACTCCTTCCACGCAAATTAATATAAAAATCGAATTTTCGCCAAAATTTGGGGGGTTGTTTCACCTCTTAAATGTGGACTATTGCAGATAACATAAAAACACGTGTCTCTTAGATTTTTATGTTCTTCAACATATATAAAAATCAATAAGATCAACGGCGGATACTTGGGAATGTTTCCTTGTAAGAGGGGAGTCCTCGACTCGGCCTGGTGCGCTGGAACTAAACGTCAGGAAATATATCCCTCCCTCTTTAGAAAGTCTCAGTTTCTCGCGTTTTTCTTCGCGTTCGCCAACTGCTCCCATTTGGTCCACGAAATCTGGACCTTGCGGTCTTTTATTCCCCGATCCTATTTCCCGTTAAGACCTCCAACAGGCCGACAATTCTCAGTCGATGTGGCACAATAGTCGCGCGTCGTAGTCTCCTAAAACGGAACCGCTTTTCGCGAAAGCTCATTCTGACACGTGGCATTTTGACAACACGTGTAAAAGTCATCTCCGTGCAAAAAATCATTCAAGGTACGAACTTCACCTTATTTACCGTTTTACACCTTAGATTCGGAGTAAAATCCCCAATTTTCGCGGACATCTATTTCGATCGTCAAGTGGTGCTTGTTCTTATTTGTAATTCGTGAGGATTTCTTTTTATGCAAGTATACCTAGTTTCGTTAACTGATATCTTAAACCAGACATTTTTCTCGTTTGAGGATTAAATATGTTTCGTGATAGTGAGAGGAACTGTATAAGTACTGGGAATTTACTAAGAGAGATTGTCCTGGTTAAGAATTAGTAAGATTAATCACTAATTTTGTCCTTAATGGAGATCGTATTTTGTTAAGTGGGAGGATTTATTGAACGCTGATAAGGTGTATATATTTTCTAAATGCCGAAATCTGGGTTTCTTGTCGACTTATCGGATCACTCCACTGTCCGAGGATAACTGTTTTCCAAAAATGTAGGTAAGCAGTCCTGTAACATGCGGTTGCAAGGAGTGCGGATAGAACATCTGTTAGGACTAAAAATCGAGGGTCTATTCCCTCAGAAATCAGTGAATACGATTTCCTTCTTCGAGAATCAATTGCCTTTGATTTCATACGATAAACAACAATGCTAGTCGGTAACAAGTGACGTTCGGCTTTAAAATTGTGACAATGTTTCGGTGATTTCCAACGATTTCCAATGATTTCTGCTTACGATTTTCATTTGATTTCCACATGATTTGGGAAATTAAAATACATTAACTTTCTGAGTGAATAACTTGTCGTTGAAAATAATCGCTCGTTAAATACAGGATAGGTTCAATGTCTGAATTGTGTTAATTCTTTTTTGTTCTTCGACAGATGTCTCACGACCACATGCATCACATGATGAACTCGTCGGGAGGCCACGAATCTCACGGCGCGATGATGTCTCACGAAGGCATGAAGCACGACAATATGGATCATTCCGGCATGCACGAAGACCACAGTGGCCATTGTATGGATCATTCAATGCATGGAATGTCGGTATGTGTACTTTCAACATTTACTCGTCAGGGCCTCTTCTGGGGAGCGTAATGTCCTGGATAATTTAATTTTAAACAATTAACAGAAGATAATCCTAGATGGCTTTCCACGGAGGATACTGCGAAACCGTGCTGTTTGATTCGTGGAAGATCGCGTCTGTCGGAGGACTAGTTGGATCATTCATCGGCATCCTGATAATGGCTGCCCTTTACGAGGGCCTCAAGTACTATCGAGAATATCTCTTTTGGAGGACGTATAATGCCCTGCAGTACAGGAGCGTGTCGATGCCGCAGGAGAAGAACGTCGTTTCCGAGGACAATCGGGTTGTACAGTAAGTACATCGACGGTGGACATTCGTGCTCGTTTTGTGTGCAGTCTCAAATCGGCTCTGATTGGTCTTGGAGCCTCACTAATTACCGATTTTCGTTTTGCATTTTTAGTATGGTTGGTGAAGTTATCCACAAACAGCCGTAAGTAATGTCGCTATTTTTATGTCTCGCAAATCTCTGGGGTATCCTGTTCCGCCAGCACCGTTCCTGTGATTCCTGCCACTGGTCCCTTTATTGTGAGATATTTGGCGTCACGCTTTCAGGATCTGCAACACTCACGTTTATCCGTTGATCTCTGTTTCACGTGGCATTTCTTGCCCCGTACGTGAAAGGTGTCTGCTTTTGTTAAAGCTTTCGCTGTCTTTCCCTCGTACCCTTGTACCTTTGGACTATTTATTTCTTTAAGGTGTCTCAAGATTTTAGACTCTGCAGTTTTTCGCTGTCTCATTCCCTTTCAAATCTCTATGTCTACTTCTTGCTGCTCACGCCGGTGGCAGTGAAATAGAATGGCACCGTAGTTTTAAAATGATTCTTATCTGATCAGAGCTGGGTAAAACGGTTCTAGGAATATATTTTTCAAATATAACATGCAACATAGGTTTATAAAATACATTTTAATTTTAAATCGGAAAATGGTCTTCTGTCCATTTATAGTGGAAAATGTAAAATGTATTAAATAGGTCAGTGGACAATGCGAAATGAACGTTTAATATTTTATTGAGAACTTGTGCATTTTAGTGAAGACTTGTATTTAATGATACTAGTGAAAAGCTAAGTTTAATCAGTTTTTGCAAAAGTGGCTGTTTTGAATTGGGTGTGTTTGACTACTTCGAGAGTTGACTCAGTTGACAGAAGAAGTTACTTTCTTATTGGTTTTTTTCTTTCGTGACATATTTTTGTTTGCATGCACCAGACGTTGATATGCACAAATATGTCCGTATAATTCAGTCTTACATGTATTTTCCCTGGATGTATTTAATTTTAAATAGAAATAGATTAAAAATCGATTTAAAACAAAAAATGCAAAGTAGTTTTCTGTTGTTATTTAAAATCCAAGATAAAAAATGGCATTTTACATATTACATACCTACGTCAAAAGAATTCAATTAAAATATATATCCAGCTCTGTATTATTCTATGAATAATTGTATTTAAGTTCTAAGCAAATAATTGCGGATTAATCTAACGAGTGTTCTATTTTTGCGCAGGCCCACGATGCTGTCCTGGATGCATTCCTTCCAGACGATATTACACATCGTGCAGATCGTCCTCTCGTACTTCCTTATGCTGATCTTCATGACATACAATGTCTGGCTGTGCTTTGCGGTAGTTTTGGGTGCTGCCATCGGTTACTTCTTGTTCGGCTGGAAAAAATCTGTAATCGTGGACGTAACGGAACATTGTCACTAGTGACTCGTCCTGCCGGCATTACCCGGTTTAACTTCCTTGCGAGTATACACACATGAACTTGTCACAGTAAAGTTGTTTTCGATTGTTGGAAGGATGTCTTTGCTATGGCAGGATCAACATTATAAGCAGACGATGTTAGATTTTATTAAACAACTTCCAGTGATTGTGTGAAACTCCTCTGGTTACTTTACATTTGATACGCTGCAGCGTACGGAACGGCCGTAATTGGAGTAAAAAGGGAATAAACCTTGAACGCACATATGTGCGCATACGTTGTTATGGTGCAAGACGAATCCATGAAATTTTATAACTGAACGGTTTTAACACTCACCGTTGATACAGGGTGTTAACGTATCTCAAGTTGTCTTGCAGGTGATGTGGAAGTGATAGCGGAAGAATTTGTAAATCGATATTGCGATCCGACCTAAGCACGATCAATGCTTACACTGTCCGCCGATGTAACGAGCTAGAATTAAAGGGGATTGAAATGTCGAAAGGCTTCCACGCCCTCGCAAAATTGGCATTACCGAGGAATTGTTTTTGTTGCATCTTAACGAGTCCTGATTTCCGTTGACGGTTTATTCTGGATGGGACGGAATAAGTTTCTGTCGTAATGCCAGGATTTAGAAATTTATCAAACGCCTAAAGTTACATGTAAATATGAAAAAATTGCTGAAATGTATATTATAGTACAAACATGCTGTTCTGAGACTGGTATACTCTTTTACGACTTTACACGTTCAGTGATGTTAATCGAAAAGAGCTTCGTCTTTCTTTTTTTTTCTTTTTCTTGATCTTTTTATCGGTGATTTTGGAGGGGTAAGGCACAAACATAAGTAACAAAAGTTGTAGAAGGATTATAGCATCCCAGTCAAAACTGTTACCCAATATTGTATTATTGTATTGTAATATAACGAATAAATTAATGAAACTTTGAAAGAACATGGACACATGGATATACAGATAAGTAGCCTTATATTGTGTCAGGTATCTTTATGATATGTCCTAATCATTTCGTAAGCTGATGTATTTTTACGCAATGAGAATTTTTATGTATCAAAAAAGTCACAAGATGTACCTGTGCTTTTCCGTGTCCCGGGATTGTTATGAGGAATGTCTTTTGTTGTATATCCATTACATGGAACACAAGTTAAACTTTCTGAATGAACGGTGAAAGGCGAGTTACTACCGTGACATCTTTGTCCTCTTTCAACGCCATCCAAATTGTGTAAAAAGTAGCTTATACATTGTGATAATTGAGCGTAAATGTCATTGCCTGATATTACTTTTACACGATTTTTAACCTCTACTAATATTTGGATTCCGTTACAAATGTGTATATTATCGGCACGTAATTGTACACTAAGCAACGATATTTTTATCGCAGTAATCAATATCTATCATGCGCAACAATTGAAAAAATATTTTAGTTATAGAAACGTTATAGTTTCTTGAGCGCGCCAACCATTTCCACGATAACATACCCGCATTAAAATACGATGTCTCATTTAGAATATACAATACATGCATTCACACGCTTATATAAATGTTTATTCATATGTTCTCTTGCATCAGAGAAAATATAAAATACCGAGCATTGATCATTCGCGAGATGAATGCAGCAAGACGTAATTTTTACGGAGATTTTAATGTTACAGTCAACTCGTTAAACGTGGCATTGCACTTTCTGACCGCAAGAATCTTAATATAATGATCCAACATACGCGGATAAGACAATATTAAATTACAAAGCTGCTGTACGATAATGGGTTACAGTTACTAATATTATTATCACAAGACACAATGAGATTTAAGTGGGAAGCTTCAAATACTGTTATTAGGTCGCAAACTGCGCACAAGGTTATGGAACAGGTAATTCGATTTTACAACACAGTATTTTGCGCTGATAACAAAAATGTAGAAGTGATATAAAAATGTATAATCTTTACTATATGAATTTTAATAAGATCTGCAGAATTTTAATAGATTAAAAGTAAGCACCACGAACATTAGTTGTTCAAAAGTTCTGCAAATCATATTTAAAATTTCTAATAGATTCATATATGTACGAAATTAAAGTACAACTGTTAACGAAAGACACTAACTAGATATAAATCAATTGTTGATTCCTTCTTAACCGAAAATATATCAATGAGCACATTCATGGATCCATCAACATAACTGTGAATAGATCAATCAATTTTTTTCTCGAGATACATGTTAAAGAGTATTGTATAGTATTAAAAATGGTGTACACTTAATGGTGATGAATGTTTTGAAGCCACACAAGCAATTCTCTTCAAATTATTTTGTTAGACCTAGAAAAAAAAAGCATGCTGCATATATAAGCTGCACTTCTTATCATATGTAACTACAGTGACATTACACTATTTAAATTCACAAGGGTGTATTAGTAGTTTCTGTGGGGGATAAGCGACTTTGGACCTATTTAGGAATAATTTGATGTAAACGAGCAATTGTGCTGAGAAAGTATGAATTAATATAGAAAAGTTATTGAGATTTCTAGAGGCTACACCAATGAAAGCTTAAATCTGAATGTCTGTTTCAGAGACTTCACATCAAATTAAAAAGTGAAAAATCTTATATGCTCCTTAGAGTGTATTCACTTGGTACAGCTATATTAATCGCACGAAAAAAATACTCCACGCATTGCTTCGGCTTTTAATAGAAACTATCGAAAGCTCTATGACGATAACCTACTCAGTGCCTGATATAGGCATGCAGCAACTCGTGCGATGTGGGGATTGTTGTTTAGAAAGATCAACCGTGTCATCTACAAGAGGACGTTCCAATCTAGCTTCTAGTTGTGACCAAGCCGCAACTGCAGCACCAAAGGCTGCTTCGACATTAGTTGCTTTTTTTGCCGATGTTTCAACTAAAGGAGGATTTCCATTTTCTGCGCACCAAGCCTGAGCTTCTTCTAATGAAACTTGTCTTTCTGATTCTGGAACATCTACCTAGATAGAGAAAGAAACAGTTTTAAAACATATATAACCTTAATACACATGTAAAGTAGAGAGTATATCTCTAATCTAAATTATTGAGAAAGACATACGTACTTTATTACCAACTACTATAAAGGGAAATGTAGATTCTTCCTGAACATCTGCATATAAGAGAAACTCATCTCTCCATGATGCTAAATTTTTGAAACTATTTTTATCATCTATTGCATATGTCAACAAGCAAATATCCGATCCTCGATAAAATGGTGTGCGTAATGTTCTAAAACGCTCTTGACCTGCCGTGTCCCAGATCTGAAGAGTATATGCTTCACCGTTGATTTCAATGTCCTTATTTAAAAATTCTACTCCAATTGTATGAAAACTGTGTTCATCAAAATGATTAGACACAAATCTATTCATTAGGCAGGATTTTCCGACACCTCCGTCACCTAATATCACAACTTTTAAAAGCGTAGAACGTTGTAGATTACGATTAGGTAGATTCGAGCCTCTTGCCGGGTTGCCTGACATTGTATTATTGGTAGACATTCTATTATATAAAATATTAAAGCCTTGTATGAATCGCGAGTGGGGTTTTTAAAATTAGAGATCAAACCATTGCGTTGTTTACGTCACAATACTGTATAATATCTTTTTGTTTTTGCATCAAAAAGCAGTCTTGTATTTAGATAATACTTTCTTTACTACGAGATCACTGGACGTATCACTGATTACTTCATTGCTTTTCTCCTGTGACTGCTGGAAATATCAGCGATCGACGGAACAATTCTTCTGTGAAAGGGTTTGTAGCACATCGGATTACTTGATTTTTTCATCGAGAGGTTTGCCTTGTTAGTGAATCAACGTTTTCTAGTTTTCATACTTTGAAGGAAGCAGGTGTGTTTCTTCATCCTTGTTCCACGGTTTAAAGGACTAATAGCACCCTTTTAAATCACCTGTCAAAGGTTCAATTTTAGAATCAAGACAAAGCCTAACCTTAACTTTCAACAAATGTATCTCAGAGCAATCACTTCAAATTAATGCCACTAAATTAAATTCCATTATTTACCTTTGACGTCAATTAACACACACGCACGTACTAAATGCCAATCACTGAGTAATAACAAGTACATTTGCGAAGACAGTACCCAATATACTCCTTGACAATTCGGCTACGCCGTCTACCTCGCAGTCTCTTCGTTAATGCGATCTACACACGAGTCTTTACATTCTTTGCGCCCGCCACTATTTACATCTGAGCTTTCGCAATTCCCTGACTAGTTAAATGTCATTAATATCTGATGTTCTTCCTAGGCTAAACGATTTTGACACATCGCTGCCAGTGGAAGAAACGCCCATGTTGAATTTCTGTATCCAACATGGCTGACTCGCATATGATCATATTTTAAAGTCCGTTCAAATCAAACAGAAGTTCATGCCATGAATTTGGCATTTAAAGCTCGCTTTCAATCAGTCTAGGCACAGCAAATAAATGAGGCAAAGAGTTCATATTCTTTGAAGTGGGGCTTTGTCACGTCCCGATATTTCATCAAAACATACGTTGCAAACGTATAACGCATTTACGGGTTTATCGGCTGACGCGCGGGAAAATTCAAACGGTTCCGAAACAATTAGAATATTACCATATTACCATTTAATTTGCACCGAATAACTGCATTATGTAAGTTTGTTATTAAATCCTAAGAAGAATATTACTTTGTGAATTCAGATTTATATAGTCTACCGAGATCCAAATCTTTTGTAGGAGTCTGAAGAATTTAATCAAATCGGAACACACATTCTTACCGGCGCCTATTGCGAAATGGAACTACAGGTGCAAGTGCAGCCCCTACCTGCAATCTTCAGACTTTGCCTTGTATTACCTGTGCTGTGAAAGTTTATTGTCGGCTTTCGTGTGGTTCAATTTTGCCAATTTGGAAGCGGGTCCAAACATGTCTGATAATGTCGCCGATGCGGTAGTTACACTGTTGTGCACCGAGGAATGCAGCGGGTGGTAGTGACGCTAATAAGCAGTGCGCAACGTGAGCACTCGTCGAGTCCCCGACGTCGTACAAGTCGAAGTCCGACTCGTCTATGCAGTCGCTATTCGAAGCGATAACCTCAAATTATATACGGAAGACGAGTCACTTAACGATTTCTCTTTTGCCGGTTTTTCGGTTGGTATCCAATGAAAGTATTCTGAGAACTCTATGGGTGTCTAAAGTGCATTTTTTTCCAGCTGTTTCAAGTGAACAGCTGACTCGCGAAGTGAGGTTATATTTCCTATTGTTGCATGGTTGCAAAAGTGCAGCGATCTACTATGCTGGGACGATCGAATCTTGGCCACTCATGATTATTGTGGTGAGTTGCTATACGAATGCATTATTTTTTTTGTGATAAATACTATCGTACAAATGAGTTCAAGGACACTTTGGAGAGAGAACACATTCGAGCATTTTGGAGGAAGAGCGTCATTCAGAGTTGATTGTGTGAACTTAAAATTAACCTGATTTTAATGTAGAAATTATAAAGGACGGTTGGAGATGGATTTTAGGTGATAGATTACTCGGTTTTTTAATTTCAAATATGATTCTCCAGTTAATGAAAGCATCGTTACTGTATATTCACGGATTGTTTATGTTATTTACAGTGTAGTAATGTATAGAGATGTATATGTAGAATTAATCTTTTGTTATGGGATCTCTTTAAATATGTTAATTTTATCTCTTGCGATTGTATAAGTAATTTTATGTGATGCGTATAGATTAAAATTTTATATTCGTAACACATTCATTTGCAAACTTTTCAGAGACGTATTTTAAATAATAATGGCCAATCCACAAGCAAATAATGGTCAGCTGTTTTATTGGGGTGGAGGTCAATCTCAACAAAACATGGGGTATTACACGATACCACCTCCGAACTTTCCACCACCGAATTTAAATCAGCCACCACCGCAGTATGATGTACCTCCTCCACCTATGATGGAAAATAAGCATTTCCCGCCGATTGCACAGTTTCCAGGAGCATTACCTCCTGTGCCTGCTGCTTACTCTGATTTGTCAGGACCACCTGGACCTGCAACTTACTCACAATTTCAATATCCAACCCAAAGAGATCCATCTTGCAATCAGAACTTCTGCATTCCTAATTATCCTCCAGCGATGGCAGGAAATTTTAATTGCAATTGGAATCCTAGAAATTCATACCATGGTAATATGAATTCCGATTGGTATCAAAGTAATACTACTTCAAATTGGAATGCAGGGCAAAATGAGACAAATACAACATGGAACGAATCAAATTCTATGCAAACTGTGGAGAAGAAAGGTTCACAGCCATGTTATGATTTGCAACAAAGTAATCGAAAATCAGAATGGAGATTTAATGATAACTCACCCTCTCGTAGTCATGCAGAGATTAAGAAACGTTCTAGGAGTCCTGAGGCCAGACATAGGTCGAGTAGGATGAGATATAGGTCAGAATATGATTCCAAAGAGAGACACAGTAGATACAGCAGAAATAGATCTAATACACGAGATTACTCCCATGACAGAGGAGATTCGGATAGAAGACAGTCATATCGAAGGACAGCTACTTATAGCTCACGATCCTCTTTAAACCCAGAAAGGCCAAGTATTCGTAGTCGGAGTAGAAAACGATCGAGATCTCAAGATTCACGAACATCCAGACCTCGGACACCCAGTAGCATTGTTCCAGTGAAGTATAAGGTGCTAACAGAACGAGAACTTCTTTTGGAGAAATACAGGTAAGTGGATTGAATTATGATGTATAATTATATAGTCCACTTCAATAACAAAATCAATATTACAGGCGTAACTATTGTGCTACCAGTAAAGATATGGAAAGAAAAATGGATGAATTATCTGCTATGGGTCCCGAAGGAATTTTGGAAAATGAAAGAAAAGTTTGGACTCGTACAGCTCCTGCTGATTTGTATTATACCAGGGATGAAAACAATCCAAAAGTTATGAGAGGAACGCCAAAGCTAATTGAATTATGTGACATCTTTAAAAAATTATTAATTGATCGAGCAGCTTCTGCAAGAGCGCTACAGGTTAGTGAAATTAAAATGATTAAGAATTAATTAATACAATGTTTTGAAACTGATAGTTTATTTGTGTAGGCCCCTTACAAACCACCACCTAGAAAAACTAGAGCTCGATTGTGCAAGCATAAATCTGAAGCCTGCAGTAGCTCTTCGTCTGACAGTGAAAGCTCCATGGATGAAGACGACAGGACTATGGAAGAGTTAATGGCTAAGAAGCAACACCCTCACAGACTTCATCCTGAAATGTGGTTCAATGATCCTGGCGAGGTATTGATAGTTTCTTTTATATATATACAAATAATATTTTTGTTACAAATTAGGTGTAATAAAATACCATGCCATATTTATTACAGATGAATGATGGACCACTGTGTAGATGCAGCGCAAAATCTAGAAGATCTGGTATAAGACACGGCATTTATGCCGGTGAAGGTGCAATTAAGCCATGTGAACCTAATTCGAATAACGCTGATAAATTATATCATTATCGAATAACAATAAGTCCGCCGACAAATTTTCTTACAAAAACCCCAACGATCATTAAGCACGATGAGCATGAATTTATATTCGAGGGTTTTTCCATGTTGTCGCATTTCCCTCTTATGAAGTTACCTACGTGTAAAGTCATACGATTTAACATTGAATACACTATCTTGTACATAGATGAAAAATTACCGGAGAATTTTACGATTCAAGAATTGGATTATTTTAGTAAGTCTCAACTCTTATTTTTTTTTATATTTAATTACATTTCGATTGTATAATTAATATGTTAATCATTTGCAGAGGATTATTTATTTAGCGAAATCTTGGAGTTAGTGGATTTTGACTTACACGCAGCAGAGGATAATTCTGGGTGCGGTCAGTTTCACTTTATGCCAAGATTCGTACGTGATTTGCCTGATAATGGTCAGGAAATCTTATCCATGAATGAGGTATTAAATTATTTAATAAAAAGCAGTAGTCTTCTAATAGAATCAGAAGAACTGCCACGATTAGTGGAAATGCCTCAGTATAAATGGCAGAGTTTTGCTGATGAGGTAAAGGGAATGGTAGTCACGCATCCTGGTAAAAAACCATGTAGTGTTCGCGTTGATCAGTTGGATAGGAATCAGGCAGATCAACCCCCGGGAGTGGTAACATATCCTGAAATTGTTCACTTTGGAATAAGACCACCTCAGCTCAGTTATGCCGGGAATGCAGAGTAAGTCCTATAGGAATTTCGTTTCTTACGATATAACAAATACCTCTTCATTAAAGTGTATATATTTCAGTTATCAAAAAGCTTGGAGGGATTATGTGAAGTTCCGACATTTACTGGCCAACATGCCAAAACCATCATTCGAGGACAAGCGGAAGTTAGAGGCTAAGGAGAATAAATTACAGGAGTTACGTACTCAAAGTAAAATGAAGAGAGACGTAACGATAGATGTCAGTTCGGAAGGCTTTTACAGAACTGGAATCATGTGTGATATAGTTCAACATGCCATGTTGATTCCTGTGTTAGTCTGCCACTTACGTTTCCACAAGTCCTTGGATAATTTGGAACAGAATCTCGGTTATGAATTTAAAAACAGATATTTACTACAGTTAGCCCTTACTCATCCAAGTTACCGAGAAAATTTTGGTACGAATCCTGACCATGCCAGGAACTCGTTAACGAACTGCGGTATACGGCAACCAGAATATGGAGATCGAAGAATCCATTATATGAACACACGAAAGCGTGGTATAAATACGTTGATAAATATTATGTCACGATTTGGTGCAAGAAGGGAAACGGAATCATCGATAGCACATAACGAGAGATTGGAATTCCTCGGAGACGCTGTCGTTGAGTTTCTGACATCCATTCATTTGTTCCATATGTTTCCCGATTTGGAGGAAGGAGGCTTAGCTACATATCGAGCTGCTATTGTTCAAAATCAGCACCTTGCTGTCTTAGCTAAGAAATTATGTTTGGAACAGTACATGTTGTACGCACATGGTAGTGATTTATGTCATGACCTGGAACTGAGGCATGCAATGGCCAATTGTTTCGAAGCGTTAATGGGTTCCTTATTTTTGGATGGTGGAATAGAAGTAGCCGATAGAGTGTTCGGTGAAACTTTGTTTAAGGATGAAGACGATCTTATGAAGGTTTGGGTCAACTATCCAAAACATCCTCTGCAAGAGCAAGAACCTACCGGAGATAGACAGTGGATTCCGAGCTTTGAGCTATTACAGGTAAATAAGAGTTAAAGAATATTTGATAGGCATAATTTTGACATATAATTAATATCTCGTTTATATTTTTATAGAAATTGACCAAATTTGAAGAGTCGATCGGTATTGAGTTCAACCACATACGTTTACTTGCTAGGGCTTTTACCGATCGCAGTATCGGATATACAAATTTAACCCTAGGTTCTAATCAACGTTTAGAGTTCCTAGGTGATACAGTATTACAATTAATTGTTTCCGAATATCTGTACAAATTTTTCCCGGAGCATCATGAAGGGCATTTATCTGTAAGTATTAAATATGTGTGTAGATAAGTATATTATTTGGCGCGAAACTCTACCGAATTTCCTGATTTACGCAATCTGTGGTAAGAGTGATGTTTAAGGTATGATGTTTTTATGCAGCTTTTACGGAGTTCTCTCGTCAATAACAAAACACAAGCTGTGGTGTGCGATGATCTGGGCATGACTTGGTATGCTTTGTATGGTAACCCAAAGGCTGAATTGAAAACGAAAGATAGAGCTGATCTGCTTGAAGCCTTTTTGGGGGCACTTTATGTAGACAAGGGGTTGGAATTCTGTCATGTTTTCTGTCATGTGTGCTTCTTTCCTCGTCTCCAAGACTTTATTATGAATCAAGATTGGAATGATCCCAAAAGTAAATTGCAACAGTGCTGTTTAACTCTGAGAACAATGGACGGTGGTGAGCCTGATATACCGGTATACAAGTAAGCAGCTTTAAATGTTTCATTTAAAAAACACCGAAATATGTACACTCAGTTTATAAGGTTATTTCTTGTTTATTTGCTTCAGAGTGATTGAATGTAAGGGGCCAACGAATACACGAGTATACACAGTTGCTGTATATTTCCAAGGGAAACGGTTAGCAAAAGCATCAGGTCACAGTATTCAAGAAGCTGAAATGAATTCCGCCAAAGAAGCGCTTGAAAAATCTCAAGGTAATAACGTTTTGCTGCATTTATTTAATGATAAGAGAATAGATTATATTTAATACATGTATTTTATTGTACAGATTTGTTCCCTCAACTGGATCATCAGAAACGTGTAATTGCGAAAAGTATGAAAATGCAACATTGGTCTAGTAAACAGAAGTCTCGTGGAAAGCCGACGAGACCTGCTGATAGATCTGATGACTCTGACTCCAGTCAAAACCGTAAAAGAAGAAGTCGTAGTAGAGAGCGAGATGTAGTAGATAGGCGGTCCAGGGATCGTTATGACAGTTCTGATCGTAGGTGGAAAGAAATGGATAAGAGCGGGGACAGACATCGAAGTCATAGAGACAGTTCTTCAAAACGGAAGGAAGAAAAATCAGAGCGTACAGCTCAAAGCACAATACAAAAGGATTCAACAGATAACGGGAATTCATACAGAGATCGTGATCGTAAAGATAAAAATTCAGATAAAAAAGCACAGAGTTCCGATAACAAGTCTAATGTAGAGACTAAAAAGTATGACCGTAGCAAATCTAATTTTTCTAAGTGTGAAAATGATCACATACCTTCAGCTGCTGGTCAGTGTAACAGAAATCATACAAGTCTTGAAGTTCAAGATCAAGATGACGGCTCTGATCAGTTGTGTTATAGAAATGATAGAAAACGGAAACACTCAATGGACAAGGCTAGAATTAGTAGCGACGATGAAGCCATTGTGGAGCAACAGAAAAATAGTAGGTTTCAATCAGAGAAAAGAGCAAAACCATAAAATATAAATCAATTTATAATTATTATTGTAAAGTACAAGTTAGTACGATATGATTTTACAAGTATCATGAATGTATTATACAATTGGGCCATCTTACTGTGAATAAAATTTTTTTTATTCTACTTTATGATCTACTTGTTTTGGTACTTGCTTTGTGTATTGTACAACCCCATCTACTTGAAGATTTGGTTTTACCAAACTAGGATTCTCTTGACGCATTATAAACTTATTCTTATTAATGAAGTTTTTACACAATTTCATGTTCTCTAAAATGTTTTCAAGATTCCAATATTTTTTTAACAATGCAAGCTGTATATCAAACAGTCCATATTTAAAGCATTGAACTTGTGTACACGTTGCAGTGGTATGCAATTCTATGCCTATTTCGTGGATCAAGCTTTGTAAATATTGCAGGGATTCATTTATAGATACTACTTCTGCAAAATAAAGAAATGTCAATATTTTCTACATTTTACAAATTGTTGATAGGCATGCTTACCTAGGGTAAATTCTGGAGAATTGAAATCAATGCATTTGATTGCATAAATCATAGGAATATTATTATCAGCTGGTCTGATAGGACCTTTCGTAGCTAGTTCATATGCAGCTTGACTTTGCATATCTACTCCACATAATCTGCAAGCACGTATAAAAGTTAGAACAAATTATAATCTGTTGCACTACATATGACCTTAATGAAACATACTCGAACATCTTCTTCTGATGCGATGACTGCATACTTGCACAAATCCTATCAATCATGATTCTTTTAACATGTTTATAAGAAGACTTTTCAATAATTTTTCCAGTTATAAAGAAAGTGTCCGTCGCTTGACCCAAAGTACCTTTAATTTTATAAAAACTTGTAGGTCGTGATTCACGGATTTTGTGAACTATACGGTTGCCTGAATTAACTCCACATAATAAAATGCCAGAAGCATCTGATCCAAGATAATTTGAACTGGTCAATTTTAAGTCTTCATGTTGATAACGTGGTCCAACTACAAGTATGTGGTCAGCATAACTTGGTCCGACCGACACTGTCATTGGTTTATTTGTCTCACCCTCTATATACACATGATTTATAGGTGGTCGTACTTTCATGCTGTTTAGATCTATATAAAAATGCATTTTGAAAGATTTGAAAATATGTAAAAGCATGGACTAATGTAACAAGTTCTAACCTCTACATAAGTGTGCCATCAACGTCTGTCGAACTTTTTTAACATGTACTCCAGGCGGTTTGTATACGGCAAATACTCCGTTTAATAACTGCCACGCTAGCCTAGCATCAAATATATTTACACGCATGTTTATTATACTATTTCCACATCAATGCCAATCAATGCGGCAGAATTTTACTACACCTCATCATTATTGTTTTCAAACATAACTGAACATAGCTTAAAACCCGTTAAAACCAAAAGCCAGTGTTGCCACTGTCGCGATTTTGAGGGTAGTAACAGCAGAGATGAGTTGGGAGATTGCTCACGGGCAGGGTCGCGCGATCCCACGTGTGCTGCCCTCTGATTTCGTACGTTAGCTTTCACCGTTTTTTGCCCCCAAGGGCGGCGCAACGAATTTCTGGTAGGGGCTCGCGCAATCGCGACGGCTGTGCCATCTACCAGTTGCCGTTGGCGGCTCACGTATTCGTGATGGTAATACCATGCGGCAGTTGACGGTGGTGGCTTACCACTATGGCGATCTCCTAATTCATCTCTGCCAAATCAGAGATGAGTTGAGAGATTCACGGAAAGGATCGAGCGACCGCGTCCTGTTCGACCTCCGGTGGAGGATGCAGACGGCTAATGCACTTGCCACCTGTTACAAATCTGGGCAGCCGGAGAACCGGCTGAAAAAGTGAAGAACTCCT